GTGCTGACCGCTCAGAGCCTGGAGCCTGTTTCAGATTCTGTGTCTCCCTCTCTCTCTGCCCCTCCCCTGTTCATGCTCTGTCTCTCTCTGTCTCAAAAATAAATAAATGTTACAAAAAAAATTTAAAAAAAAAAGAAAAAGAAAAGAAAATAAGTAAAATAAAATAAAATAAAAAGAAATAGTCATTTGCTCTTTGAGCACTGACAATAATGCACACAGGCAGAAAGTCATAGGAGGAGAAACACTTAGGAACTCCAAGTTTATGTCAGATACAGCCGATTCATGGTCTTGGGTTTGAACAACCTAAGAGAATTGTCCTAGAAGGTAACTAACTGGTCCTTTAAATTTTCAGCCTATGGCTCCATTCAACAATGAATATTCCCTTTTAAGATCTTAAGTTTTTAAAAAAAATTTTTTTTAAGTTTATTTATTTATTTTGAGAGACAGAGAGAGAGAGAGAAAGAGCACAAGTGGGGGAGGGGCAGAGACAGAGGGAGAGAGCATTCCAAGCAGGCTCCACACTGTCAGCACAGAGCCCCACGTGGGGCTCAAACTCATGAACCGTGAGATCATGAGCTGACCTGAGATCAAGAGTTGCACACTTAACCAACTGAGCCACCCAGGCACCCCTAAATTCTTAAGCTTTTTAATTACTTTTCCTTTATCTGGCAAGGCCAGGCTGTTCATCATTTTGCAATTAATGCAACACATTTAGTAGTTTTCAGTTTTACCAGGAAGACTGGTTTACTTCTGCCTCCAGCTGCTTTATAGAAAGGATTATCACCAATGTCTAAAAAGTGCAGCCCTGCCTTTACAATTAAATATAAAGATAAAATCATACAAATGGCCTGAGAACTGAGTCTCATCTGTGAAAATGTTTGCGGGGGTCAAGAGCTAAGAGGTTGGAGCATGCATGTGTCATCAGTCAGTCCCTCAATCCCCTAAAAATCTGGGGTTTCATTACCTGGCCCAAATGTCCTTGCTAGCAAAGTCAAGCTTCTAAAGATCGGATATACATCCTTCTCCAGACCTAGGGAATGCCCCACTAAGAATGTTCTTCCTCTTTACCATCAAGTATTCTCAAGTTCAGAATCATCATGCCTAAATTCCAGAGGTTTTTCTTTTCCTCTTGGGACCCTCTTTACTGAGGAAAAGAAAGCACCGGGAACCAGCAACAGCAAAGAGTCCCTTGCTATCACAGACGAGCTAACACTTTAAAGACTGGGTGTCTTGGGGCTCATGGTGGTTTTCAGCGTATCTAGAACCAGTAGAGCTGGTCATAAAACTCTTACCTTCCTGCCAGTCTTTTAGCTTAATTTCACAGCAAATAAGAGGGGCTCCAACTCTGCCCGTAGTATAGTCAGTAACTAGGAGGAAAATGCAACAAATATATTAGCATACCACATTTCAGACTTGTGCCCATGGGAGACCAGGGATATTGGAGTTAGAACCAGAGTCTCACAGATGATAAAAGAGAGGCCACTGTGAGTGCAGCACAACGTGTGACCATGCTTCAGTATTTCAACTCTATTTCAACAGTGCAATCAGTACCAATGTTGTTACATCACTTTCGCTTCTCCCAGGCTCTATTTCAGATAATAAGTACAAAAATCTCTGTGAAAGGAGGAGAGCTGCCCCTACCATTATCTACCTAGGATTCCAGGAGGACAGATTTGGATTGGAATTCCTTTTCTGCCACTCACTGATTGACTGTGTAACTTGGACAAATTACTTAACCCCACTGGGCCTCCATCTCCCCATCTATTAAAGGGGGAGAGTAAGAAAACCCACTTCTTATAGAGATATGCTGTAGGGATTCAATGAGATGATGCGTGGATGGTGCTTAACACTTCTTGGCACAAACTCAGTTTTCAATAAATGTTAACTGCTATTACCAAACAGGATGATGACGATATTCTCCTTTTGTAATTTGTAAGTACTGCTATCAATAATCAAGTATTTATAGATACCCTATAATGTACCTAGCATTATATTAAACACTGAAAGGAGGAAACACGTAAAAGATAAGGAGACTATGCCCTCAATGAGCTTACAAACAAACTACCTGGGACAAAATGCGCATGAAGCAACTCAGAGCACATTTAAATACTCAATTTCATGGTACTGGAAGTGCACACAACGGTACCTCAGGGACTTGAAAGATCAATATGAAATGAAATCACTGGCAAAGACTTAATTGATGAGTTGGGCATTAAAAGGTGGCTGTGTCCAGTTAGCAAAAAGGGCATTCCAAGACAAGGGAACAGAAAATACAGAGAGGTGAGAGCAAGAATGCCTGTAAGAGAAAGAGAGGAGAGCAGAGCCAGGGTGTGTGTGTGTGTGTGTGTGTGTGTGTGTGTGTGTGTGTGTGTGTGTGTGTGTAAAATAATGGAAAATAATGATGGATGGGGACAACGGCAACAGATTAAAGATGTCTGGAAGCTAGGTCCACCAGGGCTGAAGCAGTGTTTGAGGTGGAGATGCCCAACAGAAATATACAGGATCAATCACAAGTGATACAATAGAGGCAGGAATGGCCGCCAAAAGGCTGTTACCTCAGAGGAGTGTGAGGCAATAAGAGGCCAGGTACGAAAGGTGGCATGCAGGGGAGGGAGCAGTCCAATGAACAAATGGGAAGATCCAATTGAAGTTAAAGTTTTAAAAAATAAACAATTAGAAGACTTCAAAGCTAATGCTGTGAATGGTTTTAAGGATGGTAATACCACAGTCACCAACCATCTGCCAGGTGGACAGAGGTCTGGGATGATGGCGTTGATTTTGGGCACATGAATATAAAGTGAAAGTGGGATGATCCAAAAAGTATTACCTACCCCAGTGTTTCCCAACCCAAGATGATTTCACCCCTCAGGGGGTATTTGGTAATGTTTTGATTTATGTTCCATTGCCACAGCTGGGAGGAGTGAGTTACTCCTGATACCTACCTGGCTGATAAACATCCTATAATGCACAAGAGAGCCCCACCAATAAAGAATTATCTGGTTTGAAATTTCCCTAGTGCCAAAGTTGACACGGCTATCGGGTTTTGAAAAGAACAGAAAACAAACAAGAAGTCAGGGCAGGAATATACATTCAAGAGGGAGCATAAAAATGATACTTTCTTCCAAGAGTGCAGTTCTCCGAGGAAACAAGCATTTAGACAGAAGAGACTAAAGGACCAGGGTGACAGAATTTTGAGGACTGACAAGATGGCATAAATACAGACAAGGCTTAAACATAAAGGGCACACGTGATAGTTCAACTGGAAGTTTCTAGAACTAAACCTGTTCAGGATTACACTGAATCTGTTATTACTTAAGGGGTATAAACATTAGTGACAACAAACAGAATTATTTGCCATGTTACCAGTACTTACCTTCAGTAACTGTGCCGGCACCACATGATTCTGTCAGTCCGTAACCCTGACCCACAGGGCAGCAGAAGCAGACATTCATGAATCGGTGTGTCTGAGGAGACAGCGGGGCTCCACCAGACAGCATCATGCGGACATTCCCTCCCAGCAAAGCCTTCACCTTTTTAAACAGTAACCTTGAGAAAAGCACAAAGGGCAATAATTTGAATACATGCATACATTATGCTTGGTCACATCCTAATGTATAAGCTCTGGGAACTATTTCTTGACTTTGGTTGGACACCTACATTTCAGAACCATGGTGGTAATTAATGAGAGGTTCACAAAGCAACGACTAATAACACCTTGAAAAAAAAATGCCAGAAAATGACAGATGGTAGCTATACTTGTGGCGAGCACAGCATAATGTACAGAGTGGTCAGATCACTATGTTGTCCACCTGAAACTAAGGGAACACTGTACGTCAGCTATACTTCCATTTTTAAAATGCCAGAAAGACTCTTAAAAATTAAAAAAAAAAAAAAAAATGGGGCGCCTGGGTGGCGCA